CGGCCATTTCAACTTCTGACCGACGCTGCTCGCGCCCGTCCAGGCGGCCTCCCCGGACTCCGCGGGGCTCCCGGGGCGCCCCGTCCCGCCCGCCTCGGTTTATTTATTGACTTGGTCTTTGCCCGCGTCCTAGAGAGAGGCCAGTGGCTCGCCGCTCGGAGCGCCAGCGTTCCCGGGGACCTGGCCGGCTCCCACTCCCCCCGCTCCCTTCCAGCCATGCTGCCTTAAGTCGCCGCTCCGGGCTCCCGCGGACCGGGCCCCGGGCGGGCCGGACCGGGCCGGAGCCGCGCGCTACCGTGTACAGAGTCCTCGGGCCTCGCGGGGCCGGGACGTGCCGCCTCCTACTGTGTAGGAGCCCCCGCTCCCCCAATACCGCCGTGTTCCCCGGCCGCTGCCTGGCTCGTACTCGCGCGGTGCGGGAGGGAGGGGAGAGGGCCCTCGGGGGGCCGGGGGCCCCTGAATGCCTGCCTCCGCTTCGCCCCGGCCCCCCGAGTCTCTCCGGAGCCCTCGGCTCGGCAGCTCTCCTCCCACCGGGGTTAATCAGGAAAGGTTTCCTGAAGGAGGCAAGCGAAGACATGGTGTGTGTGGGGGTGAGCCAGGGCCCAGGAGAGCCGGGGTGCAGATCGGGGGGTGCAGGGGAAGGCCCGCAGCAGGGTTCTGGATAGAGGGCAGGCACCTTTCCATGGCCTACACGATGGGGGTGGGGGAGGGAACTTTTGGAGAAATAAAACGAAGCTGCTGCGTGATCTGGTTTTTTCACATCAGCAAATCTTGTCCTAAAGAGAACTTGGCTTTAGGTGTTTGGGCCTCTTGACCAGCAGGCTGCAAAACAAAACCACAGATTGCACCGGCAGGCAGAAGAGGAGCCCCGTTAGGAGGAAGGGTCGCCTCAGCAGTGGGTTCCCCGGGGGGCAGTTCAGCTGCAGGCTAGCCCAGGGCTAGAGCGACTAACGTGTGTCCTCCTCGATGCTCTGTTAACGCTGGCTGCAGATACTGGCTGCACAGTATCCTGAGTACCCACGGGAGGGATGACCCGGGACGCTCTCCCACCCACCACCCTGGCCCTAGGAACATTTCAGGCCTCCCGCGGGTGCTGGCTGCGCTCAAGGATTTGCAAATCCGGAATTTGGCAGGCGCGTGGCCGCAGTATCCGCCCTGCTCCGGCTCCAGGCCGCTTCCCGTTGGCGCCTCCTAGAGGTCCGACCAAGCCTGCACCCCAATAAGCCGCCAGTTTGCTTGCTACTGAGACTATTGGGCCAATAGTTCTGCGTGTATTGTTTACCTCTTCACCTTTCCCCCTGAGATCGGAACTCTGCCTTAAGCCTCCTTTCTCATCTGAAATAATAGAGTCGAGAGACTCGAGTACTATGATGTGCAAATGGTTTGTGAAAGAAAGCGTGAAATGGTGGTTCCTCCCGTCTCACTAGTTGAGGCTGTGTAGACCGAATTTTGTGGTCTGTTTTTACTAGACACCTGTTTCCCTTTGTATTATAAATTCCACTTAGAGATTTTCCCCCCTCAAGGTTTTTAATCCTCAGTGTCTCTTAACACTGCTCAGTTAAGCTTAACTGGAGTCTAGGGTCCTCCAGAATCTCTTAGCTTGGCGCTTTTGTCGGGTTCACTTTATTCCTTCTTGGGGACCTTACTTAAGCTAAGATGCACCAGGGCTGTTGCTAGTATCTTCAACAGTGCTGGGGCACAAGGAAGGAGGGATGCCTTTTTCAGTCACCTGGTTGTGTTAATCTGTACATGGGGCATGAAGATCATGAATTCTGGGCTATAGCTAGTCTCTCTCAAAAAGTGAAGAGGGAGAGCAAGATGATTCAGTGGGTCAAGTGCTTTCCAGGCTAGTCTGGCCGCCAGAAGCCGTGGTGTAAAGAACCGACCTTCAAGTTATTCTCAGACCTCCACGTGTGTGCCGTCAGCACCCCCCCCCCATCTCTCTCACACACAAATCCTGAGAAGATGAGGGAGGCTGGGGATGGACACAGAACCCTCAGTTCTGATCCAAGCACCCATACAACAGAGTAGCAGTGCACGCCTGTAATTCCCACGCTCAGGAAGCTGAGGCAGGGTTACTGGGAAGTGGGCGGCAGCGTGGGCTGGGAGGTAGGATGGTATCAGAAAGGAAAGCAGGGGGAAAGGGCTGCAGTGTTGGTTCAAATAGCAGGTTTGAGACTGACCGAAGTTACGAGACCCCAAACCAACCCCAAAGGGAAAAAATATGGATGTAAAGAACTAAAACTGACCACCCAGCACTTGAGAGGCAGAGATAGGCAGAGCTCTGTGAATGTAAGGCCAGCCTAGTCTACATAAGCAAGTTCCAGTAAAACAAAACAGAATTAAAATAGAAGTACAATCATTTCCAGTTCTATACGGGATTGATTCTAGGACAGTCACCACATCTGAAAAAAAAAATCTGAATATTTAAGTCCCTCAATAAAAGGACATGGTACGTGTATGTGACCCATGCCCAGCCTCTGGTATACTTTAAATCCTTTCTAGATGATTGAACAGTGCCTAGCACAAGGCAAGTGATCGCATTCGTGTGTGTTTATTCTAGGACTAGGTGGTACTTCCGTATGTAGCAGATGCAATCCTTGACCTGCTCCTCCTGCCTTAGTCTAACAAGTGCTGGGACTGCAGATCTGAGCCGCACTGTGAAGAACTGTTATACTGGATTATTTAGAACATAATGACGAGAAAAAGCTCTCTATACGTGTTCAGTACACGTACATTTTTCCCCAAATATTTTTTGATTTGTGGTTGGCTGAATGCATGGGTGTGAAACCCACAGATATATATGGAGAGAGAGAGAGAGGCAAACCCAGGGCCTTGCACATGTAGACAAAGGCGCCATCACGGCTACAGCCCAGCTTTAGCCTTGGGATTCTCTGCAGGCAACAGCCCCGTACAGGACCACGTCCTGACTGCAGTCACTTATCCGTAGTTTTACGAGAATGTTTACTTCTTTAGCCAGGAACCAAGAGCAAGTGGAAGCAGCTGTGTTGCAATAAGAGCGAGTCCTTGGGCCCTTCTGGGAAACCTTTGCAGGTCAACTAATCTCCAACACCCCCCACTTCTCTGTGTAGCTCTGGCTGTCCTGGATCTCCCTCTGTAGACCAGGCTGGCCTCAAACTCACAGAGATCCACCTGCCTCTGCCTCCCGAGTGCTGGGATTAAAGGCGTGCGCCACCACCATCTGGTTAAATGTTATTTTCTTTAAGCTTTTTGTCTGCATGTAATGTACGTGTACTCCATGAGCACTTGGTGCCTAGGGAGGCCAGAGTGAATTTGGATTTCCTGGGGCTGGAGTTACACACAGTGAGCCACCCTGTGGGTGCACGGAATTGAACCCAGTTCCTCTGGAAGAGTGCCAGTGCTCTTAACCTCTGAGCCATCTCTCCAGCCCTCAGTTTCTTTTTTAAGGAATAGAAAGGACATATGATAACAGGGATTTGTAAAGCATGTAAATATAGAGGTTTAAATTAAGCAGGTTAGCTAGGTGTGAGGTGGTCTGATGTTATCTCGCTTCCCATGGAGTCTGAGTCGGGAGCATTGTGAATCCAGGGCAAGCCTGGACAGCAGAGTCTCCCCACCACCTCCCCAAAGCCCCACAATTAAGTGTTCTGTAGGACATGGTTATTTGCCCAAAATAACATAGGCCACCACCAAAGAGGCAATTCATTATTACTCATGAAAACTTCCTACTAGCAGATTCTGATAGTGGATAATGAACGAAAGGATAAGTTGTAGACATTATTGCTGAAATGGAAGTACAAACACACATGTCCTTTAAGTTCAATTAAGAAATCTGCTGGGGGGATTTTGTTTTTCAGGGTCTCATGTATTCCAGGCTGGCATTGAACTTCTGACCCTCCTGCCTCCCCTTCTTAAGTGCTGGGATTACAGGGATGTGTCTCTACGGCTGATAGGCAGTCTCTACAAGTCACAATATCGGCCCGCTTTGTTATTAGGAAAAGCAGAACATGACAGAGGCCTCATCCTTGGGGATCTCTGAGCTAATTTCTCAGAGGCATCCTAGGAGATTATGGGGAAACCAGGGCCCCAGCAGGCTGAGGCCATCAGGTGTCTAAGGCTTTGGGGACCTGGGACTCAAAAGGTTCCACAATCAAGAGAGCTTCAAAAGCTGTTCAGCATCTTGGGTTCTTTGGGGGCAAAGTCACAAGGGCCTGAACTGTTTATTACTCAGGTCTGTCGCTTCTTGATGCTGCTGCCCCAAGCTTTGGAACACACGGGCATGAGTCACTGCCACTTGCCCCGGCAGATGACCTTGGGAACTGCTGATCCTCAAGTGTCAGGGTACAAGCTGGACCCAGCTCAGGTGGCAGAGTGCTTGCCTACATGTCTGAAGCTCTGTGTTTGCTCCCTAGCAGTGTGTTAACCAAGGCAGTGCTTGGAATCCCAGCATCAGGAGGGATGTGGGTAGAGTCAGGAGGATCGGAAGTTCAAGATAATGCTAGGTATTGAGTTTGAGGCTAGCCTGGGAAACATGAGACCCTGTCTCAAAACAGAAAAGAAAAGAAAAAAAAAAGGTTATATACACAAAGCCAGGTTTGGTTTTGGTTTGGTAATCCCGCTCCTCAGGAGGTGGAGGTGGCAAGAGTGCCATGCATTGGAGAACAGCCAGGACTATAGAGTGAGACTGGGTGTGGAAGCTGGAGGTAGAGATTGCCTTTAGAGGAGCAGTGACTTTGGGCCAGGAATTAATGGAGGACAGGGTGACCTCAAGAGAGCAAGCCTGAGGAGCTGATACACTGATGAGTTTATTTCAGTCTTTCTTGTTGCTTGTTTCTGGTTTGTTTTGTTTTGTTTGGTCTGGTTTTTTGAGACAGGATTTCTCTGTGTAGTTTTGGTGCCTGTCCTGGATCTCGCTCTGTAGACCAGGCTGGCCTCAAACTCAGAGAGATCTTCCTGCCTCTGCCTCCTGAGTGCTGGGATTAAAGGCATGCACCACCACCGCCTGGCTTGTTTCTGACTTTCAAAACTTGAATTTTTTGCTTATTGGTGTTTTGTGTGCATGTATGTCTGTGCACCACATGTGTACCTAGTGCCCGTGGAGGCCAGAAAAGAGCATCAGATCCCCTGGAACTGGAGTTACAGTTGTGAGCTGCCATGTGGGTGCTGGGAACTGAACCTGGGTCCTCTGGAAGAGCAGCCAGCACTCTTAGCCACGGAGTCATCTCTCTGGCCCCTATTTTGGATTTTAAAACATTTTTAAAGATTTATTTTTGTTTTGTGCATATGAGTATTTTGCTTGCATGTATCTGTGTAGCAAGTGTGTACCTGGTACCTGCAGAGGGCAGAAGGTGTCAGACCCTGGACCCCCTG